CAAAAAACAAATCAGAGTAAAAAATGACACAAGTGACAGTATTTTTAAAACACTCCTGTACTACTCAAATATACTCCATCCTAGCTAGGAATGAATAATTGGTATTTCCACAGGGAGAGAGCTTGACTTCTTAACAATTAGTTTATTTTACAACAGCTACACTCTGAAGTCTTACGTTTCAAACACAACTTATTCCATATGGCAGGCTTTCTCTGTTTTTATTTACCAGAAAGATTATACAAAACAACACCCAACTCACTCCAAAACTGCAAGACAAATTCTAGGTTTGAAGGGATGTTGTTCTTTCAAATTCATGGTGAAGCACAAAGCCAAATTTGCACTGAAACCAGGCTTGTTTGGGTGCTGCAGGTGAAGAAAGTTCTTTGGCGCACCCTTTGCTACCTGCATGTATCAGGTTTGCATACTTGGCTCGTACACCTCAGCTGACATGTCCACTTGATCCCCTTGACTTCAGTCCAAGCCAGCTCTCATGAAGTGGATCTCTCTGCACAGACATGCTGCCCTTGGTCAACAGGAGTTCTGAAGAAACTGCCCAGGCCAGCTGCCACATACCATCAGCTATGGGACGGCTATGCTGCACGTCAGCTAGGCCCATCCCTGTGGGACCCTTGCCCACAGCCTTGTTATTCAAGCTGGGTTTCCCCACTTTGCTACATGAGCTGTTTACAAGACACAGCTCATTGCAGACACTGACCCCAGAAATAATGAATAAACAATCCAATAAACAGCCTCTTTCTTAACTTAATAGGAGGGGAAAAAACCTGCAATTCTAAACACAAACTTAAGCCATTCCAGCTCACAGCATGGCTGTTCCATTCCACTATTTACTTCAAAAACAGGAAAATACAACTGAGGTTGCACTTGTTTGATGAAATCTGGTATTCATGTTCAAACCAGAGAAAACCCCACCTTTCCTATCCACACTCTTAGAGTGTAGAAAGAAAAGGGACAATGGAAGGCAACACAAAGTGCCTGCCTTCCTTGCTTAGGTGTCTCTGCGTGCCAGATGATGGCAGGCAGGCTAGGATACAGACACAGCACCCTCCGGCAGCACCAGGCCCCCGAGACCGGCAGCACAGGTGAAAGCTGTCGCCCCGCTCAGCTCTGATGCACTGAGCTGGCCACAGAAAGACAAGGAGAGGCGCACTGGGCCTTTCAGCAATCGGCAGAGGGTGGTGCATGAGAACATCCAGAGGCAGTCAACCCGAAATCAACACGAATTCCTCCTCCCAGTGTAAAACATCTTTGAAATACCCTTCAGAACAGCTACAAGCCACAAAAAGGCTAATCGCACACTTGCTGCAAGACAGTAACGAACAATTATCATTTAACAGGAATAACATTTTACCTTGTAGCAGGCAAGGCCAGATCCATTGTGCCACCCAGGGGGACAAGGATCGGTTGGCTTTGGGAGCACTTCTGGCTCCTTGGGCAGCCCGATATATTTTTTGCAGACAGAAAATGCTTTAGTGGTTTTACAGTCCTTCGTTTCCCACTTTCCAAGAGACTTTCCACTGGGCATGGCCACGCATCCTCCGGAAAACTCTAAGATTTAAGCCACCAAAGACGTATTTAAAACTACTGGCTGGTTTTCCTGGTTCTGAATTACTATTCTGTCTCATCCTTGGAGTTCTGTAACATGGTACTCCAATGTTTGGTCAATGTAAAATGATACTATTTTTATGGATTTTTTTAATTGTTAAATTTACCTGGTTGCAAGGAATTCCAGTTAGTGTATGTCACAGCTTCATTTTTTTCCCCATCCACTGTACCCCAGGAATATATTCCTGATTGGCTAATATCCTGCAAACCAGTCCAGAAGTACTTATCTTCAACTTTGGTGTGTTTTCTAATTAGACTGTTGATAAATTCTTGCTCAAATCTGAAAATTCACAGATTAATTTGCATCAATATTTGAAAGATATCTGAAACTATTGAGTCAATCTGGAAACCAGGCATATTGTTACATGAGTTAGTTCAAGTGGTTGTCCAGGCAGACCCATATTCAACATGGGGTCAGCAGCCTGGGAATTCATATACTTCCAAGAAGGTTTTACACTGTAGGTTTACCATTGTCACACCATGGAAAACACAGTTCGCCAGTTCTCCACAAAAGCAATTCTATTTCTATTTTTTTCTTTATAAACCACTAATTAGCGCACAGCGGTTTTAACCTCCAACTATATCTCCAGGATCATACTGTAAAACATGCCCATAAATTAGAGATGTGTTTTACCTGTTCATCACTGTAAGATTGCACTGTGCTCCAAATGAAACTTCTGTTTTATAAACCTTGTAACAGTAGTTTCCATGTCTCTCCCATCCCTGGTTAGAGAACAAAAACCACATTTCTACATAACAGCCTAATTTAGGCATTATCTACAGGAGAAAATAAATCATTGGTTGGCGCCTACAAGCCTGCACAGCATATACAAGAAAGAAATGCAGTGCATCACATACAAAGTCCAGTATCCTCAACTCCGATTCATTCACAGTTCTAAGAAATAATGCAACCATGGGAATAAAACACACCACTGTTTTAGCTTGACTGTGCAGTCTTCTGACTGCTGTGTACGTTTAGAGAGACAAACACAAGGGCAACAGCCTAGTCCTGTTCAAAACAATAGGAGTTTTCATGCTGTTCCACCAACACCAGGATTCAAACAGAGGAATAATAAGAGGGCATTACTACTGTTTCTTTACTTCTGAAAAAAATATTTTATACTGAAAATGTGTGAACTTACAAAAATTCACTAGTATTCAAATCTTTTCCCCTATACTTATACTGAAATTTCAAGGAACATTAATGTGTTACCTCTTTGCTAGCCTACCAATGCCACTGGTGACTGAACAGCACAGAAAGCTGTAACCTCTACATGCTGGCGATTTCCAAAGAGACAGAGTAAAAATACCCTACGGTTGTGCAGAAAGAAAGATAAGCGGTAAACATGTTTCCTGTTGCAGGCACTACACCACACAAAACTGAACCAAAGAATTATGAAATAGCTAGTGATACCATCCCAAGATAGTTCAAGACAGAAAAGACTTTTTTTCAAGCCTTATTTATACTGTAATACGTTCTACTGTAAAAAAAAAAAAACAAAAAAACCCCACACAACCAGAAAAACCCCCACCTTTATTCAAGTCAAAGAACAAAAAAGACAGCCAAGTGAAGCCTAACAGAAACCTAATCTCATTTATCAGCCTCTGCATATCTTTGTTGCAAAGTGCTTATCCTAAATTTTAAAACTTATTTAAAGCAAAAAAACACGAACAAATGTCATTACTGATAATATATCTAGTAAAAGCAATTTTTTTTTTTTCAAATAAATAAATGAAACACAACATCTCCTGGGTCCAAGCTCACAATACTTTCATCAATAAACAGAGCGGTAATACAACCAGAGCCTGCTTAGGAGAATCTGAAATTTGTCTCATGCTACATAAATGTCTTTTTTCAGCCAAAATGTTCCACAGACTTTATTGTATGGGCAAGAAGGAAATGGGAAGCAGAGGAAGAAAGTAATTTTATGCAATTTCTGAACGAAGTGAAAGTAAAAGAAATACAGACATCCTGTTACCTCTTCCAATGAACAACTTTTATCTGATTTTGTTTCATTCAAAATGTCTCCTTTTTTCTTGCACACATATTTAAATTCTTCTTCACAGGATCTGACTCTCCACTGTCCCAGCTGTGAGAAGGAAAGGAAAAAAGTATTTAAAATTCTAAAATCTTTCAACTTACACAGTGCAGGGGCTGAGTTTTCATATAGGCGAAAGCCAAAAAATGCCTCTAGCAAAAATACTGTGGGCAGGATGCCCTGGATTATATGCATAGGTGCATGTTTGGAAGGGAGATAGAAAGCTGTCAAATGTGGAGATGGCAGGATTCTGGATCACATCTGAAAAGGGAAGAAAAGGCCATGGTGGTGCCAACTCTCCCAGATCAGGGTGCGAATGGGTACAGGGGACTTGCTCAGCTTTCTGCAGAGGCAGGGAGCAGGTAGCTCAGAAGAACTGGGCACATGAGCTCCACTGTCAGCCGGACAGCACAGCAAGCAGATTCTTGCTCCAGTTCTCTGCTGAATGTGGGAGGCAGGATACAGCCTGCTTCCCTCTCCACTCATCTTTGTAACCTCCTTCCCCCACCCGCCCTTGCTGCTTCTGTACTGTATGCCCCCAGTGCCTGTCCTCTCCTCCCCTCTTACTGAGGTATCTCACTACCCATCCTCAGATGGGGTCCCCCACATAGGTCCTGGAGATGACTGAACTCAGCTTTTCCTTTCAATACTTCAGCCCATCTCCTTCCCAGCTCTCTGCCACAGACACGCAAGAATACGGTAACCCAACATGCAGAGCGACAAGGACAATGGGCTGGCCAACAGCAGAGGTAGTCTCAGCACTGCGAGCAATTTCTTCCATTCTTTGCAGTACACAGCTACCAAGTGTCAGCTATAGTTTTAAGAAATTTGCTTGTAGAAAAATTATTATCTGTATTTTAAAGATTATTCCACAAATAAAACCAGTTATCTGCTTTACCCTCCCCTTGACTTTTTACGCACATCAGTGTTGCCTCTACTATGACGGAAAAAAAACTAAAAAAACCCAACACGTTATTCCTACCTTGCCTGAATAAGACACACAGTTAGGAGTGCTGTTAAAAGGAACTTTTGGTTCATTCTGATCCCAATATGTAAAAACCACAGCTGAGCGATCTGACCATTTGAACAAGGTTGGTACATCTTCATTCCTGAGACCCATCCATATTTCTTCTTCAGCATCTGTAATTCAAAATTAGGACAACTTCATAATTTCAAAATAATATTCAAACTACGTGAAATCAGCAAAATTATATTTTTATCATTATACTGCATGGCATAAATGCTACAATTTTTTTTCTTACAGTGAGAAAAGTGATTCGAGACAAGTACAGTACATTTTCATTATCTTGTTTCTTACCTTCTATTCATGAATGTGAAGAAGTTTCACAGAGAAGATAACAAATGGAAGAAAAGACAAACGCAGAAATAATGAACACTCAAGTAAAAAAAGCTCAACCAAATTTAATTTTTAGAGTGCACACAAAAACATAAGACCACAGAGTACAGGTAACATTTATTAGTTCAGTGACCCGGTAGCCAAATATTGACCCAACTATCTACAATTCTCTTTGAATGAGAAAACTAAACACAAGGTATTAGGCAATTAGAAGTAGGTTAGCCCAATAAATAAATAAATAAATAAAATAGATCAAATGAAAGCAAGAGCTAATACAGAGGGACTGGACCTGAACAGCAACATTCAGCACTAGCCGGGGGACAAGCTCAGCATTAGCACCTCCATTTCAAAGCTAGAGGTTATGACAATCACGTGCTAGAACATGGAAAGCTGTTTGTAATTTACAGTGTGCAGCACTTGGTGCTTCACCTTTACAGGTCCCCCAACTCACCATTACGAAGCTTTGTAACAACCAGTTCAACATCTGCTAAGGAGTGTGTGCTGATGAGGTTACTCTTATTTGCTTTGCACGACTCATCTGCTGTACTCCAAGGCACCTGGTTGTTTACCAGCATGTAGCAAAAACCGTTGTGGGGAAGCCAGCCCAAATCACAGCGAGTATCCAAGTGTCTCCAAAACTCTAGTAGTGAAGAGAAACAGAAGTAGAGGCTTTTGTTTTACATTGGCTAGTGCAACGGGTCAGCAATTTCTTGTGTTTTAACTCTGGCAGCACTTTGAAAACAGCCTGAAAGCAGCAGTCAGGATGCGTTCACATCTCTTCAGGGCTAATATTTTAAGAAATGGTCACTACTTCGTCAAGCACATAAGCTTGACTAAGCAGCGTTATGGGGATTAGTAATATTTTGGGGCCAGGAGGAAGGCAGAAGGAGAAAGAAGTTAGTAGGAGTAAAAAGCTGGAATGTATTACGCTAAGCTGGTCTTAGTGCAAGCAAAAGGTTCAGAAGTACCAGTAAGCAAGATTTCAAAAGCCATTAAAGGCATAACAAGTTACTTCATTGCAGGATAGCAACTTCAACAAAAAGCTGCTTTTTTTGTTTTGGCAGGAGTTTGCACTTTTATAGGGCATTACTATCTACATACAGCACCACGCATTAAGACCAACTTTTAATTGCTTGCAATGAAACAAATGCTTAAACATTTTTTCTTCTGAAAACTAAAATATTTAAGAATTCAAACCAGTATTAAGGCACACTGAAAAAGTTGTATACTAACAGCCCTTCTGGTTCAAAATATACTTTAAAATACTCTAATCACTAGAATTTTGGCTTTTAATTAAAAACAACTCCACACCCCCCAACTAAAGAGCCAGAGAACAAATAAGGATGGCTAACTGACAACTAGTTTTCAAGGGAACATTTTAAAATTTGAACCACTTTAGTTAAATCGAAATTGCTTACTTTTTTTCCTCAAAGGCACACACCTTCCCTGGGGAAGCCAGAGAGAATGTGCCTTAGCCAGTGACACTCCATGACACTTTCCACCTCCGGGACACTGCTTCATCCTCTTACCCCCTAGTTCTCCCCTCATCCAAGGACAATCATCTCCCAGTAAGTCTTCCCACAAGAGCCCCACAAGCATGAGCCCTGCAAACTGGGTAAGGCCAAAGCACACATGGAAGAACAGGCCAGGGATAGCCAGGTGTACGTACATGGCCAGAAGCATGGAAGCAGTTATGTATCACAGCTGGACATCGTAAAAATGGAAGGACTGTATGTGTGTGTGTAGGGAGGAGAGAATAAAGCCTTAAACTGTTCTGGTTTTCCTACTGTATTATTTACTTTTATCTTGCAAGAGCTGTTATGGATCCAGTAAAGCTTATACACTGGCCAAGTTTCCAACTCTTGCACTCTGATTTCCAGTGCTGGGCCTGGTTTCAAAGGATAGTAAGGTCATTTAACTACTTCTATTTGAATTCAACAGTACCATCCAAGCTCCAGAAGAGTGAGAGAAATGGGCTTAAAGAAGAGATGGAAAGGTTTGAGGTGTAACTGCCCATTCCAGGCTTTCAGTAGCACATGAAAGAAGGCACAAGCCATGGAGGAAAACGTGATGAAAAGGGCAGGACTATGCTGAGAATGAGAAAGCTGCAAAGAATGAAAGCTGTTTGTGAGGCATCACCTTAACACTGAAGATACAGAGTTTGCTTCTGCGCTGCTAAAAAACCCCAAGGCTGTTGTGAAAGTGTTTTGGCAGAGATGCCTAAGAAGACTTGGGGAGGGAAAAAAAAGACTCTGTATTACACACCTATTAACATACAAAACCAAAAACGCCAGATTTCCTACCTGGGAGGCTTGACACTTCATTGAGTGACTTCTTGCAAGTATATGGCAATGCAGTCCCACAGTGGTAACTCTGCCACCGACCTGAGACAGCATTCATCACCACACAGCTAGTCCCATCCAGCGGGGATAAACTCTGCATGTCTATGGACAGGAACAAATGAAAACAGAAGAGCACAAGTTATCAAACACTAAGGTAGTGACTGCTTCTTTTTTCTATTGCTTTTCAATACAAGAATAATATACTTTGCATAGTACAGTACCTTGTATTTGAAGAACATAACCTACTTTGAATGAAGGCACCTTTTCTACCATAGGTCCCACAGAAAGTTTTTTTGTAATGGAGAAAGTTTCAGAATCAAGGAGTCTGGACTTCTTTTCTAATGTTTAACCATAGAACCAGGAGGAATGTTCTATTTACAATACAACAAACCCTTGGCTGAGCACTTTCCCAGACTAGAAATATCTCAGGGGAGAAGCCTTTTTGCAGCCCTTGGTTTCCTTTGGCAGCCCCTTTCCAGCCCCACCCCAAACGCAGCTCTGCACCCTTTCTCTCAACACTAACCATAACCCTTACCTCAACAGAAACCTGAGACAAGGCCCCAAATTAAAAATATCACAGAGAACTCGTTTTTACAGTCCCCAGCTTCTCTTGAAGCCCCTTTCCAACGGTAACTTTTGGCTTCCTCTTTCTTTGAACTCAAATATGAACCCAAGCTGCATCCTACACAGAGCATCCCAGCTACCCCCCAGCACTGGGTTCATTCAGTCTCACATACAAAAGGCTTAGGGTGGATCTTAGTTCTTCATGGGAGAGTACAACAGAGACAGGGCCAGGCCCTTTTCAGAGGTGTACAGCGAAAGGACAAGAAGCAATAGGCACAACTTGCAGCTAGCAAAATTCCTGTTAGATACCAGTAAGTATTTTTCACAAGACGGGTAGGCATTAGCAGGTATGCAGACTATATTATGCCACCATAACTCAGGATCGTCTAGTCTCTAGCTCTGCATCACAGTCCTACAGTGTCACCGCAGTTCCAGAAGAAGCTTCAGCCAGTAGTACAAGCAGCAGAAAACTCCTTAACCTTTCCAAAAGAAAGACCACATTTGGAAAACCTCACAGAAATTTCTTAGTAAAGCTTTCAAAGAAATAACAGAAACCACTTCTTCTCTTTTCAGAGAATTCATGTTGCAGCACCGTTCTAGAAACTGACGGACAAAGAGAATTCCACTTTGAAAATATCAATTTCAGCTTGAATGATAGAACAATACTAGCTTCAGTATTCCTGATTATTGTTTCTCCAGGACTCTCACATAAACACATCCATGGAATCTTTGTGAGAATATTACAAATACATGCTGAAAATTCCAAACAAACAAGACTCTCACCAATTCTACTAGGAACTCGGGAGTAATTAGAAAGGTTTTTCAAACATTTTATACTTCTTTCATCTTCACCTTGAAACAAATTTAAGCAACCTCAAAGTTTAAAAACCACAAGTTCGGCTTCTTAGTAATGTCAGTTCTTGCACACACATCAATAATTGTAGTATTTGAGAGATGTCAATGCCATTCTGGCAGTGGGAGGAGAAATTTAGCAGCTAGGGAAGCTGTAGATTCTTTACTAAAACACACCTCAAAGATACTATTTAAGTTTTATCTTTGTAGTGATTCATTAGCCTACTCATCCATAAATACAGGAGTGCAGAAACATTCACAGGCTAGGAGCAAAAGATGCTTCTGAACTTCTAACAGAAATGGAACAACAATGATTGCTTTCATAAAGTCAAAAAAAAAAAAAAAAAAGCAAAGAAAAATGCTCGTTTGTGTTATGAATATTGTTTAATACCACCAGAAACATCATTACCTGGATGCCAGTTGAGAAAATTCAAAGGTTTGTGATCTGACCACTGCCAACCTCCAGAAACGTCCAGTTGATTTAAGCCAATCCAAAAGACCTCAGCAATGTCTTCCTTGGCTGGAGTTAAATTGATTATTTTTAAGAAAACAATTAGTATAAAATGCTCATTCTTTATTGGTATTCTTTAAATTAAAAACACAATCTGAAATGGCATGGACTTGCGGAAAGAAAGATTGCTGCTGTAACAGGACATACAACATTTCTTGAACTGAGGAGGAAATCACCCACTCACGTATTCCCTCCCAATGCATTCAGATGTTTGCCCTTTGGTTTTATATTGCCAAAGGCACACTGATAATTTGTCCACGCCAAGCCTGAACATCGTGATGACGATTTCGTGACAATCAGGTAACAAGCTGCTAGAACACCAACTGGCACTCTGGCCCATATTTGAGATTTTGGGGATATTCTTCATTATAAACATGAACAATAGCTAGCCGCTACAATGAAATCACACAGATAAATTAAAAACTCTGAAGTGAGATTAGCAACTTGTTTTTGCTACATATGAAAGCACCAACGCATTTTAAGTACAATCAAGTTTTCACCCAGAATTTTAAGACAGAAACTGAAACGCTGTCTTCACTTGACATTAATTTGTCAAGATTTCCTGACACTCGTACGTGAATAATTGCACCTACCTTGTATGTAACTTAATTCAGATGCATCCTGGATGCTAAGTAAATCTCCCCCTTGCCTTTGACATGAAATATAGGCTTCCTTCCAAGAAAGAGCAGACTGTGTATTAAATTGGTAGCAACTTTCAGACCCCGGATCACGTTCCCAGATACCAAGACAACCATCCTCTGTTTAAAGGAAGCAGAAGGTACTTGTAACTACACCTATACTGAAACATCATGAATGTTTCAAAAGAAAGATTAGAAGACTGAAGGTCTACCAATTTTTATACTGGTAATCATATATACTGCAGAGTAAGTGTGTGCTGATCATCCTGTCAACATTGCAATAGAAAAGGGACCTGCTTTTACCCAGCTTAATAGCAACGTGCTACACCAAGGTAGAGCTGTACATATGTGAAGTGAAAGAACACTTTTAGGATGTCTACTTAGAAACCCAACGTGCCTGGTTGTAAGCAGATTCCCCATTTTTCATCACGAGTATAATCTTCAGATGTGGCACACCATGCCCCACCCGTATGCGTTTCATCCTGAATGCAGTCATGATGCCACGTCTTATTATACAGAAAGGGGAACTCACAGGGTTTTCCATAGGAGTTCCCATCTTTGGTATAAACCTCTGCAGGGGAAAAAAATACAAGTAAAGAAGTAAATACAAGTTGTCTAGGGGAGAAAAGGACAGCAAACCAATGTTACTGCTTGTACAGACACAGTTAACTTAAGAGCATGCAAATCACACTTGTGGTCTTAAAACACCGTATCTTCTTGCTATAGACAATCTACAGCAAGGCCAGAACAGAAAGAAATAACAGGAAAATTCTATACTTTTACTTGTGAGCGGGGCACAACACAGCAGAAACCTGTTTCCCCTTTCCTGGTAAGTTAGGGATAAATACATTGTTCTGTTGAAATCCACGTGGTTTGCACAGGGTACTACAGAACAAGGCTCTAGGAATCAACACATACAGGAGAGGGAAAATATTTCAAACTGGAGCCTCCTGGGCTCTTCAGACTGGCCACTTTGAACAATTCAAATAGAAAGAAAATTCTGCTTTTAAATATGGTAAAGCAAGTTTTTACCATTTCTTCAAGCAAGTGTGAGATTTCAGACAAGACCAGCTTTGATGGCAAGTGGACAGACTACCAGAGCAAAGCAAACGGATGGTTCCTGACAGTCCAACAGGTTGCAAGCTAGCAGCACATGCCGAATTTGATTCTACAGCCTACCAGCAAAGTAAATATGGTCAAATACTGTTCTTATTTGAGATAACAGCAAAAATACCATCACTGTGAAGAGGACAGTGCCAGTTCTCATAGGTGGTGGTTGATCTTTCATAATTAAACAGGGTCTCACTAAAATATGGGGAGAAGGATTTAAACATGCTAAGAGAGCCACTTGATAACACAACTTCTGCAGTTGTGCGTATTTATTATTAAAAATGGTTAAAGCTTCATACTTGAAATATCTCCCTACAGCAAAACATTCTATTGCTTTACTAATCAGTCTTTTCATATGATTAATTTTAAGAATTTACTGGCACAGACACACGGCAAAAAGCCCTCAAAAAAAAACCTCCCAAAGCAACCTCCAAATCCCTGTGCAAACTTACCACGGTATGGATACCGACATATGTCATTGGAGGAATTGTTGCTTCTCCACTGGTCTGTTGCACTTATGCTTGCAATTACATAGTTATTCTTGACAGTCAATTTGTACTGAGATGCACCGAAGATGGAAGCATCAGCACATCGCCACCACAGCATTAGTCCTGAGTTACAATCAACCATTTTCAGGCGAGACAGTGATTTGGTGAATATATCAAGTCCCAGGCACTGCTTGGACCCCAAATGAAAGAGACGATTCTGGGATACCCATTTCCATAAAGCTTCATTTGTCTCCTTGCAGTCATCTAGCACTATCCGTGAGTTTTTAACTTGCATGCAGTTGTTCAGTCTGTCATGGCGAATGGTAAAAGTATCATTGCCTGTATAAGAACAAAGGTCCACATATGGGTATGATTCAGTATCACTTTCACAGGAAATTCATCTTTAAAAGCATAATCACATTCTGAGACACACTACCAGAAAAGTACAGCAACTGCTGTTTGTACATTATACTATTGGTTTCACATAAGCCACCTTAAGTACATTTTCCTGCTCTTTAGTGAGTATTTTCTCTGTCTTTATAAAATGAGAGGAGATAAAATTAAAGGAAGAGTTCTTATTTATACGATTGGACTTTTTTAAACACATACTGATTGGACCTACCTCTGTTTAATTTGCTAGCTTACTGGTAGAGAATCATGTCTTCACGCCTATCTGCAAATACAGTAGCACACAGCATGTACCATAAAATATAGTTAATAATAATCTTCACTTAGTAAGCACTTTTTAAAAAAAAAAAAAAAAAACAACAACCAGTGTATCGTATATGAGGCTATGATGCTGTGTATCATAATTGAATCAGTTTGCGGGTGCAACGGCAGCATTACTAAAATAACTGGTACTCCTTTTGGGATAGAGTTTTAGAACAACTATCCCACCAAAGATGCCACACAAAGATCAGGAGTATCATTTTCAAAATGATACAAGAACCTCAGCTTCACTTTCAGCTGTGACATAGCTTGTCATTAAAAAGAAAAAAAAAAAAAAAAGAGTTGACAAGGCATAATACACAATTTTAAAAAGATATAGATCACGCTACAGATACAAGCTGACACCTCTGCCAGTACAAGAACACCTCTATGACAACTGGCAGTAGGTTTACAACGACCAAGAAAAAAATGCCCCAAAACTATTTCTACGTAACAATAAAGATGTCCCCACAGCATAAAACTTTCACTAACCAGGCTGATGTGGACCTTGGTTGTCCCAGACGCACAAGGCTATTATTACTCTGCTGTTTAAATAAGGAATCTGCTGAGTAGCATTTTGTATTTAATAGTAATGCACTGTCAATCACATTCCTACTGTGTTTTTTTAATATGACTTAATAATAGATTTGGCTGAACAGCAAGGAAAATATTCAGTGACGTTATGCAGTGAATTTTACCACTACTTCCCAGTACAGTCGTGAGTTTTCCACTGTGTAAGTGCCAAATAGTATCTAAATAGTACTGAGCTGCTCAAACTGCAATGAAGAATCTCTAAGTCAGCCACCTACCGGAGTGACTTTTCCTAAACAGCATATTTTAACCAACTGTCTCTTTCTTCCTCTCCATCAACTAAATAAGACATTTGAACAACCAAACCTGTTTTTGTGGTATCTTTTCACCCTGTGCTTTTTCAGCACTGTATCTGCTTTTTGCTTTTTATTCTCTTCTCCAGCCTTTCTTCTTCTTTTCAATTTCTTGTAACGTGTTCTCTGCCTCTTCTCAGATCTTCCCTTTCCTCGTTCTTCTTTCACTTCTTCCCACACAACCCTCATTCTGACACCAAGAAGAAAACCACTTTTTAAAATTTCCCGAGAAAAAATGCAGATGGTGTCTCACCAAATCTCTCTGTACAGCAATTTATTAATACCAGTGCTCAATTACGTCAGTTAAACACTCTGGCCAATAAAGCTTTACCTGACACCTTTAGCTACAGAACGAAACCTGTTCCTGCCGAAGGATATCAAAGCACCTGGGGCACAACTATTTAGCGAAGAGCTGCACTCATTTCCCAGCAGCTCTCACCAAGCGAGCGGCTTTTCCTTCGGAGAATTCGCTCAACATGCAACTTTTCCACCTATTTTCCGAAGGACGGGGTAAGCCTCCTTCCTCTCCCTCCGACCGCAAAGCTGCGAACACGAAACCTGTTCCTGCCGAAGGATATCAAAGCACCTGGGGCACAACTATTTAGCGAAGAGCTGCACTCATTTCCCAGCAGCTCTCACCAAGCGAGCGGCTTTTCCTTCGGAGAATTCGCTCAACATGCAACTTTTCCACCTATTTTCCGAAGGACGGGGTAAGCCTCCTTCCTCTCCCTCCGACCGCAAAGCTGCGAACAAAAAACGACGGCTCGGCGCCCTGCAGGCGACCGGCCCGCGTTCGGGTTACGGCTCCTCTGCAGGGGGCAGCCCGGGGGCC